TGGCTTGGTGTGGTAGAACACACTTGTAATCCCAGCTACTTGGGAGGCTAAGATAGGAGAACAACGAGTCTGAGGCCAGCCTGGGCAACTTAGAGCAAGCCTTGTCTCAAAATAAGGTTTTTAAAAGGGTTGGAGATGTAGCTCAAGTAGAGGCTTACCTAGAAGCATTGAGACCCTGGGTTCAATTCCCAGTACCATAAAAAAGTTGGGGAGGGGGCTGGATTAATGTCACACCCATCCCTTTTAATAGGTGGTAAAGTCAATTATACAAATGCTGGCAAGGCTTCTACTCTTGGCCCACCCTCTCCAGCTGAGCCCTGTTAAGAGGCCAGTTTTTTCAGTTGTTGATGGACCTTTATTTTTTTATTTTTATGTGCTGCTGAGGATTGAACCCAGTGCCTCACACATGCTAGGCAAGCACTCTACCACTGAGCCCAGCCCCAAGGCCAGTTTCTTACTGTGATGTTGTGCTGCTTGGAATTCTCTGTTAACCAGAGTGAGAGGACGGTAGGATCTGACTGCTTTGTAGAAGGTTCATCCAATACCAACAAACCAAGGTTGTCAGGCTTTCCATCAGGACGTGGTACCTGGTTAAGGAAAAGGTAGGAAAGTAGAAGGAAAACAAATGTGAGGACCATAGAAAGCCATACCTGCTGTTTTCAATAAGCTGAAAAGGAAGTAGTCTTGTGGTTCATTATTATTTATAGTATTAAAAACATGCTTGTTTATCATATCATACTGAATATTGTCTAGAAAAAAAAAACATGGTCTTTGAGAACTTAAATACAAAGCTGGATTCATGAACAATTAGAAGGCAAATACAGGAGAGTGTTTTAATATATAATGAGATGATAAAGTATTACTTAGCAACAATAAGTACTTGGAGAACAGAACAAGGTAAAGAATGGCAATGAAATGACATATATTATGGTAGTAAAAGAATTAGCAGAATTATTAGAAGACAAGAATCAGAACTAACATCTAATAAGTCATTTTTAGGACATACTGACTGTACCTTTAAGAATGCATCGATATCTCCGACAGCTGGGATAAAATCAGGAATGAAAGGTTTCAGTTTGTGGTCCAGGTCAATCAACTGAGGTGTGTACCTAAAAGATATTGCCAAGGGAAGGTGAAGGCAGGTAGAGAATGTTTCCTTGCTATTCAGGCTTTGAAAAAAAAAATCCAAGGAAACTGGTCTTGTTTCAGACTGGACAGAGAATGAAAAGGTTCAGGGACAAGGTAGTAGAGTGTGCTTCATTGGAAGGTTCTCATTCTCACCTATTGATGTACTGGAAGAGTTCCTTAATCTCAGCGGAAACTGGCAAATGCTCATAATCTGCAGGATCATAGGCCCTGGGGAAAGGAAAACACCTCATTTTAGGATGCCCAAGAAGAGCAGAGATGACAGAACCCTGGGTCAACATGTGTGTTCCTGTGACCACAAAGAAGTGACCCTGAACCTAGCTTCTGCCCCACCCACATGTGCCTTTCCTGGTGGCTTGCAAGGCAACTTTAAAGTCAGTTATAATTAGCTCTTAATTATTTTTGATGCTGAAGGACAAAACTGGAGAAAATCTAAAGCATAATTTTTTATGTTAAAATGTAGCATATTGTTTTCCCTTTTTATTTATTTTTAAAATTTATTTATTTATTTATTGGCAATACTGGGGATTGAACCCAGGGCCTCACACATGCTAGACAAGCACTCTCCTCCTGAACTGTATCCCTAGTCACTTTCCCTTTTTTATATGAAAGAGATAATGAGAGGGGCTGAGGATGTGGCTCAAGTGGTGGCACTCTCGCCTGGCATGCGTGCGGCCCGGGTTCGATCCTCAGCACCACATACAAACAGGGAT